TTATAGTAAAGCCAGAGAGAAGTGCAGGGAGGGGCAGGTGAGGTCATCTGCAGGCTGGGCGGCAAGGAGGTGAAGGCAGGCCCTGACTACATAGGTGTGAGACTGGGAAAAGCCGCCTCTGCTCCCTCTAGAGGGTGACCCTGCATAGCCCCAGTGAAAGAGGCATAGGGTGGCCACATTTAATGACTCAAAACTTAGAACCTGGGCTAGTTTACAGAGAAGAGAGGACAGGAATAATTTACCTAGATTGTTCCTGACACTCTGGAACATACAGCTCCTGTGCCTATTGACAATCTGCTCTTGATGACTTTCCAGGGTAGAAGGGGGATCTTTATCTTGACCTTGACCTGAAATCTTATAAACTGCTCCAAATGATCTTATAGCTAAATCTTTGTCTGTCCTACAGGTACATGCCCTAGAATCTCTGTATTTCTAGATCAAGAGGGAATGGACTTGTGAAGGTTAATTTTATGTCAACCTGACTGGGCTAAGGATGCCCAGGTAGCTGGTGAACATTATTTGTAGGGGTGTCTGTGTAGGTATTTCTGGATAAAATTAGCATTTGAACTAGTGAACCGAGCAGAGCACACTGCACCTTCCCTCAATATGGTGAGCATCACCAATCCACCAAGTGCCCGAACAGAACAAAGAGGCAGAGGACGGGAGCATTCACTCTCTGCTGGAGCTGGGACATCCATCTTCCCCTGCACTGGACATCAGAACTCCTGGGTCTCAGGCCTTCTGACTCAGATCAGGACCCACACCATCGGCCCCCCAGTTCTCAGGCCTTGGGACTTGAACTGAGCCATACCACTGGCTCTCCTGAGCCTCCTACTTGCGGATGGCACAGTTGGGACTTTTCAGCTGAGCTCATTTGTATAATAAATCTCCCCTTCTATCTCTCTGTATGTCCTATTGGTTCTGTCACTCTGGAGAACCCTAACTAATACAGAACTGTTGGAATCTTATGGTCTCACGGGGGCTGTTTTCATAAAAACAGGGCAGCAGAGAGGCACTATCCCTCTTCAGCCACACCTGGGGCCTTCCCCCTTCCCAGTGAGTGTGACATTGCAGAGATGCCTTTTACTCCCAGGGCACTCCGGAAGCCATCTCTGCAGCTGGAGGTGATACCTCATGGGGGAGGGAGCCAGTATCTAGTGCAGGTGGTAGGAGGGTTGGTGCTAAATCAACCACAGGCCAGGAGTCTACACCCCCTGCACTCAGATTTCCTAATCTGGTGTAATGTTGATGGTTTTTACTTTATCATTTGGGTTCTGAGGAAGGAGGCTAGGCCTTGTTCAAAAGGAACTTCAATGTAAGGTCCGCTTTGATGAGGACTGTACAAAAGGCCAGGGTGGGGGGAGCAGAGATCTAGTCACTGTCTCCCAGGGCACGTATCAAGAACTTACAATGTGCTGGCCCTGTTCTGGAAAGCTTCCTGGAGGAGGTGGCATTTGATATGGACCTTCAAAGAGGAATGGGTTCATCAGGCCCATAAGGAATAGCTATAAATTAGGATTTAAAAGATCCAGGGAAATTCAATGAAGAAAAGGTATTTTTTAGTATATGAAGTTGGAAACATCTGTTTTGACCAGTAGAGTAATTCCTCTAAAATCAATGTACTGATTAACATCTGGAAGAATTGGGACAACATTTTGTTTTAGTTTAAATTAGTTGTGTTTTCACTCCAACCAATTCCAACAGATTTATCAGTTCAGTGCTGCTCACCTGAATCAGTTTGTGCATGACTTGTATTTCAGACACAAAGCATTTACAAATACTTAAAAATACACACAAATATCCATTTGACCAAGCCACTTAATAATCTCTGAATTAAAGGAAACACTAAAGCAACAGTCTCTATTGACAATCTGTTAGAAGAGAGAAATGCACCCTATCTATAATCCATAAAATCCTTGATGTCAGAGACATTTACCACTATGCAATCTTGAAATGAATCGGTTTTCCTTCCCCCAAATCATGGATACCATGTATGGAGAAAAACAAACAAACAAAAACAGGGAACTTTCTTCTTTGTCAGGTTGTAGCATAATGTTTATGTGAACTGACTGCAATAAAATAATTTATCAAGCCAACATGTAAAACTAACTAAAATATTAAACTGGACAGAGAACACTTGAGAGAAATCTTCAAAAACTGTTAACACATCTCACCCCACACACCTCTGTAATTCTTATAAGGTGTTTGTAAAGATAATTTTTTTGTAAATTGGGCAATAGCAGCAAATGGACCATGTGCAGAACTAGTCTTGGCAAACTGATTTTCAGAGAAGTTGCTTTCAGAGAATTGAGTTTCCCTGAAGTGCCCTAAAGCCGTGTTGGCTCCTCAGAGGCTTCTTGCGCACTTCCTCGCTCTCCTCGGTGTCCCAGGCTGGGACAGCGGCTGCGGGGACTCTGCGTGAGGGAGTGGGGGCCACCTCAGCCCTCAGAGGCCTTCAGGGAAGTTTGGAGCTGGCACTAAAACCTGCTGTGTGTCTCCTGCAGAGTCAGCGTGACAAGAGTCACTAAAACTCAGGATTCCCAGCTTCCAAAAGACATTCTGCCCTGTGGGTCCCCACCAGCCCCCTCCACCCAACCCCCTCCTCAGGGCCAGCTCCTCCTGGGGCAGGGCCACAGGTGATGTGTGAGGGTCACCGGAGGGGACGGCCCTCAGACCCCTTAAATCCATTCCAGGTCCTCGTCTCACTCAGGACCTCCTGTACATCACTTCCTCTCTGGGACCCAGATTCTCTTTCTGTTCTCCTCAGGCAGTAGATCAAGAGACGTTTGTGCTGCCTTCTTCTTGCCTGGAGGCCTCATCAAACAAACCCTTTTCAGGGTCTCTTTTTGAGCTGTCCTTTTCAGGGCAGCTCATTGGTGAGAAGCCTCCAACATCCAGTCTCTAATACCAGCCAAATCTTCTCAGTCCCTGGGCTGCTGGCTTCATCTCCCTCTAGCCCTCCGTAAGTTCTCATCTCCCATGTACTGCATGCATTATTTTTAGTATAACATATTTTAGACATACAACAATATGGAGAAAAACAAAGCTAGCTTCCATGGAGCTGTCAGCAAGCTTAAGGAAGAAAACATGAAGGCATCTATCGAGGGCCTCTGTGTCTTGCTCTCTGAGGAAACATTGGTCCTGAACTTAGAGGTCACTGTTTCCATGTGTGAGCTAAATATTTCTTCAAAGTCAAAAACTCCCCACTTTTTTTAAAGAAACAAAAATTCATTTTACACGCCACAGACTTGAACAGTCACTTGTTCTCAGACATTTGGACCTGGTGGGCCACTAAAATGTCTGAATTAATTTTGGGCACGTGTAGGACTCTCAGAATAAGAACATAAAAAAAAACCCCACAAAACTATCGTCTGCTATTAAGTGGCTTTATGAAAGAAAGAACATTTAACATGAAAAATATGGAGAGAGCATATTCTCAGAATTTAAAAAACTGAATCCATTTAGGTTAGTCAAAAAGTCTTTATTTTTCTCATTTTCACACAGCCTGGGAAACTTCATCTTGGACCTCTTTGGCATTTAGGAATCACTAATTCAGAAACTCAGACTGCTGTGACCTATGTCCCTCAGAGGACAGGGACTTTCTGGAGGGAACCACCCTCATCCTGGATGCTGGAGCACTTTTGCGCCCCCCCCCATCACCCCACCAGGCCTGTGCCTACCTCTGCCCCCATTTCCTTATCTCTACCCAAGTCTTTATCTCCAGATATAGGTAGACACCTGCCTCCCCAGCCCATCCCCGCCCTTCCTCAGGGCCCTTGGGGACCTGAGAATTTCTTCCCTTCTTCCTTCATAGTTCCCCCAGCCCACTGGCCACCACCCAGCCCTCAAGCCCAGGACCTTCCCTTATGTGTCCAACCACAGGCCACAATCTGGAAGGGATGTGGCCAAACTCTGAGGGAAAAATTTGAACCATTAGGATGAACCAGGCAGCAGTGTGTGGGGGTCATGGGAGACTGGAGTGACCTGCTGGAAATACCAAATGGAGGAAAATAAAAGAAAAAGGTCATCAATGCAGCAGCCCAATCTTGCTGACCTGTCCACTCTCCCACCCCCTCCACAGGTGCTCAAATGAGGGGGTGGGTGGTGCAGGGGGCGGGCAAGTGGTGTAGTTTTACAATAACCCCCAGGGAAAGCTGGTTCTGCCTCTCCCCACCCTGAGCTGAGAACCACTGATGTGACACAAACCAGGATAAGATAAAGTCAGTTATCATTGACAGTTTGGGCTCAAATTTCATTCAGTCAAAGAGGAACAAAAGGGAACTCATTTCACAAAAGGGGAAGCAGAAGCCCTTCACTAAATGGCACCCAGGGCCACAGAGCTGGCTGCAGACAACGCTGACTGGTCCTTTAACCTCACTGGGCCTCAGTTTCCTCATGTGCAAGATGAGCTCAGACTAAATTGTCTCTGAGAACCAGGATGAGGGAGCCTCGGAAATTCAGAACTGTGACAAGCAGCTGCAAACGGATCTAATTTTTAACAACCACATGGCGATATGATAAATCCAAGTTCAAATGGCAGCTCTCCTGACATCAGGGGGGCTAGGCGGCTGCCAGCAGACACTTATCGTCTATCTCCATCTTTCTGACCCTCCTCGGCTCCCCTGGAACACACCCACAGCCTGGGAGCAACTTCAGAGCCCCCAACTCACAGAGGGGCCTTCAAGGGGCAACAACAAGGGGCTAGGTCTTGGGGTGGGAGCAGAAGAGGAAGGAAACTTCTCACAGATGGCTGGCTCTCCACTAGAAACACCCCAGATCTCCCTAGGATCTGACTGGCAAGCAGCCCCACCACAAGTGCCACCATCCCTTTGCCCATCACAGCACTTCTGTCTTCCCTGCTTCCCAACTGTCCTGCTTTCATTCCAGTGAGGCCACCTCCACCTTTGTAGTTTATAAATCTACACACCCCTGCATCTCAAACACAGCACACACACACACACACACACACACACACACACATTTTAAAAAATACAGTTGGCTGTATTCAAAGGATGGTAAACTTTATTGTTTGTGCTGTAGGCAGTGTCCCAGCTCAGCTCTGGGGTCCATGCTCTGTCCTGATCCAGAAGCTCAGGCAAAGAACCATGTCTCTTCCACCCTGACCACCCCCAGACCACGACCACACCCCTTCTTCTCTGCAGGATCACAGGGGAGGCAACAGAGAGACATCTGTCCTGTGCAGGCTGGTTCTCCTACTGGGAACAATTGAAAAGGGTAGAAACTCAAAAGAATCTCACATGCCGCCTTTGGGGACACTTCGAACATTCAAGCAGCAGCAGAGTTCACATTCCTTTTATTTGGGCCACCACCTGGCTTTGGGATTTTTCACAACAGCCCTGTGAGGTAAGGGGCAGCCCCAGCTCCCCCAGGCACAGAGGGGGTCCCAACAGCCCATAACCCAGGCCAAGAGAGGCCAGGGGCCCCACCACCCAGACTTTCCCTTTACATCCCAGTGCACAAGCAGGAACCCCAGAACCAGAGTCAGGCAGAGGAAGCGGGCCAGCCCAGGGCCTCACTTCTGGCTGAGGATGCGCGAGAACTCCTCATAGTTCACCCGTCCATCCTTGTCCAGGTCTGCCTCCTGGATCATGGCCTCCAGCTCCTCCTGGGTGAGCTTCTGCCCCACCCGGACCATGGCCTGCTTGAGCTCGTCAATGGTGATATGGCCGTCCCCGTCCAGGTCGAAGGCTCGGAACACCTCCTTCAGGTCCTGCTCACCGCCCCAGGACTTCATCCTCTTCACCATCGCTGCCAGGAACTCCGGGAAGCTGATGGCGCCGTCGCCATCCGTGTCCAACTGGGAGATGATATTCTTCAGCTCTTCCTCTGTTGGGTTCTGGCCCAGGGCCTTCAGGACTTCGCCCAGCTCCTGCACGTTGATGGTGCCATCCCCGTTCTTGTCGAACCTGGTGAAGGCCGCCTTGAACTCAGCCACCTGCTCTTCAGACAGCTCCTCTGCCATGTTGCTTGCTGCCAACCAGCTCAAAGGGCTTCCGTCAGAGCTGGGGACGAGGCTGTGTCTGTGTGAGGGCAGAGCTCGGATGGCAGCCTTGCCATGGGGTGGGAACCCCTCCTTTTCTGCAATTGGTGCGAGGGAGGAGGCAGGCTCCCCACCCACCCCATGTCCTCGGGCAAAATCCTCCTCCCGGGAGGGACCAACCAGCAGCAGACCAGAAATGCAGGAATTGGAGAGGTAGGGCCCCGCCCTGGAGAGGCTGGAGTGTACTCCCTGGGGCCATGGGGCCTGCCAGCCTCTCCTGGCCCAGAAGGTTTTTGTCAGATGATTCTCACAGAGACCCCGGCCACACTGAGGGAACCAGATAGCTTCTGCAATTTATAGAGCCTGAGGCTGGGAAGGGAGCCTCCTCAGGGGACACAGCAGCCCTAGAGGAGTGAGATCGCTATGTCTGGTGTTCCTGTTCCCTCTCTCGAGGCTGCTGTCCTACTCTTGTCCCACAGGCCAGTACTAGTGGGAGTCAGGTGGAGCTAGAATTGAGTGGAATTTTACCAGGGTAGAACCATGGGTGTCATCAAATGCCCAATCCAGGGCTTTCAACAAATCAATAGATGGAGGAAGTGGCCAGCTGCCTGTGGCTTCGAGAAATCAAGGAACTGGGTTGGTTGTGTTTAGGACCTGGCACACAGGTGGTGGTGAGACTTGTTTATTAAATGATGTTCCAAGTGTGGCTTAAGTGGTGAGGAAATGGCTTCCTGTCCCGCAGAACCCTTCTCTAGCTTGATTCCATTCTATCATGAAGTCCAAGGTTCTCTGTGCAGATGCAGGGAAGGACTGAGTGTTGGTTTACGTTCACAGGGTAGTCTTGCCTGAGGGCCATGGGGAGACTGGAGGACATTGGGTGGCCCGAGCAGTCCAACCCCTGAAGATGCTCAGGGGTAGAAGGACGTACAAGGGCTGGCTGAAAACTGCAAACATGGCCAAGCTTGCAGGTTTACTAAGAGTCAGGCCTAAGCACAGAAATCCAGTCTGGGAATCTTCCCAGCCCACTGTCTTGTTTGTTCTTTGGAAGGAAATCCCACTGCTCTAAGTGGCAGAGTCTTATGTAGACCAAGAGCTTGGCCCTTGGGCATTGTCCTCAAGTACTTCGTTAGTGAGACCCAAGACTGTGAAGGGACATTTGTCTTGGAGTCCCCACAGTGATTTTCTCAAGAAAAACTCCTCTTGATCCCCATCAATTCCCAGGAGCCCCCTTCACCTCTGCCTGTATGTAAGGAATACATTCTGTCACTCTCCAACTGAGAAATGTGATCAACTCTGTCTCTCTCTGGTTCAGCCCTCAGACAGACTGAGGATCCTCTCCTTCCCTGCAGGGCAGCCGGGCAAGCACCTTTCCCCCCAGCACTGCACACCCACCCCCAGCCCACGCCAAGTCCAGGGGACCCAGATAGAAAGAGACACAGAGGGAAATGTTCCAGTTATGTAGCTCCTTTTATAAAGACATCTAGCAGAATCATTGCTACTTCATCTTTGTGCTGAAATAGTACGGAGACCTTAATACCTATTGAGCAACTAATTTCCCAATGAAACTGACAACCAGTATCGGTTGGAACGTGTGGGTCCACCTAAGAGACCAGCACAGGGAAGCTCCGGCTTCGTAGGCGAGAGAGGAAGGGCGGAGCGCCTAATAACTGGAGCAACCCAGCTCCTTTATTTATTTTTTAAGAACATTTGAAGATATAAATCTATATTTTAAATTTCCTTTTCTTTCATCTTATTAACAGCACTTGTGATTAAAAACCCAAGATGCTTATTATTTTCTTATTTTCCCTTGGTATTAAATAATACATGGCAAGCAAGGGAGAGCTTTTCTGACACTATCAGACTTGGGTTCTTGGTTCATCCTCCATCTCTGAGTTGTGTCTCAATATCTTCATCTATAATACAGGGTAATATGTCCACCATATCTGATCAGGGCACTTAGGATCAAAGGTCAAAGTACTTTGATCAGCAGAAGGTGTTATTGTTCTGTGACAAATCTCGTGTTTGAGGTAAACCAACACTCACTCCAGAAAACATCCACTTGAAGGGGAGCCTTGCTCTCACTTATTTTTTGTATACCTTTCTTGATTGAACTGATATAATAAACTTTTCTGCCTGCAGGCTTGAGTCACATCAAACAGTCCACACTCGGAACACTAGTTGACTTTTGGAAGTCAGCCCTAACAGATGCAGAGGCTTCTATTCAAAAAGAGAATCTAGCTAAGCGTTATCACGAGACAGGACGATGACCATTATTCATGTAACACTTGTTCTCTCCATGTGGAGACGGGGGCTTCAAGAGGTAAAGTCCTCTGCCCAGGGCCACCCAGAATTTGGGGAGAGACCCAGGCTTCTGGCTGAGTATGTCTTCTTCCTCAGCCCATCATCTGGGTCCTGCTTCTCTAACATATCGCCTTCTTTTTTCAGAGCAGGAATCAGCACTGAAATCATTTCTTCACACCTTCCCACCTACCCAGGCTTCTGCCCAAGTGGGCAAGTTGTTGGCTGCCCTAGGCCAGCATCAGGGATAACTGTCTCAAGTGATCAACGCCATCAGGCATCTCACAGCTGAACTTGGGGCTGGGGAAAGGGCAATTGTTGCCATCTCTGATTAAGTGTGATAGAGCCCCTTTCTTTCGTTGCTGATTTACTTCACATCAGCCTGGGTGCAGAGCCCAGCTCTTTGGAGGGAGTGAGAGAGATCTAGAAATGCCTCATATTCACGGTATTTCACAAAGTGCATCCGCAGGCCTGTGAGGTTCCGTGTGTGATGGGAGTGAGGCTGTGCCCAGGCCAAGGAGCCCAGAGCTGGAGAGACTGTCACTTGCTTGGCACCCTGCAGCTGTGCCCCCTGGGGCCACGTGAGAAGTGTGAACAGGTGCTAAGAGGCACAGAATAGCAGCACCTGATAGGAGTCAGTTTTGCTTAAGGAGTACCTGGAACCACTGAGGATGTGGTTTGGCAAAGAGGGGAGAAATGGGAAGGTTTGCTAGAGAGAGCTTTGAGTCTTTTCAACGTCCCCTGTTGGAGGTCAACTTTCAAGCCCAGGACTCATTCCCTCACCTGCCCCCTCTCAGTGTCCCACACTGACACTGTTGCCAGGGAAACCTCAAGTATTCCTGGTGAGAACTGCCATGGTCCCAGAGGAGAAGAGAGGCCCCTTTATTGAGGAAAGAGATGAGACCTCTGCAGATGTTACAGGAAGGAGAAAACCCTCTGCAAGGCAGCTGGGTGAGCATTCACGGGTGTTCATACAGCCTCAAGGAAAGGGGGTTGTCACTGTCAGACTGCCTGGTGCAGTGGCCCTGTGTGTGTGTGTGTGTGTGTGTGTGTGTGTGTGTGTGTGTGTGTGTGTTGGGAGAGGGTGTAGGGGCTGAGTTGCCTTCTGCTCAGATGTTTGGAAGCAGTGCTGAACCCGGCCCCAGCGTTCACCGGAGCCTGACCACAGGAGCAAAACATACTCCAGCGCTCCCATTACTATTTGGCTTTGTGGGTGAAGTACTTGTGAGAAACCTGTAAGACAGGTCTTGGAGACTCCTCTGGCTCCCCTGGCTTGCTGGAACATGCTTGTCCCATATCCTGGAGCCAGTCTCTGGTACTGACATCATCCCTGACCTTGCCCAGGGAGATCCCACCCCCTGGAAACAAGGAAGGAGCCTGCCTACTCAGGAGCCATTCCATGTCCACATGAGGCCACCCCCTGCCATACCTTTCTTAAGGAGTGAGCAGCAGACACAGGCTCTGCACCTCCATTGTGCCAGTTCTGCTCCCCTCAGAGGCAGTACAGCATTTGGCAGCTGAGGGCAGGGTCCTGGCTTCCTGTGACACTGGCTGCGTAGCCCAGGGCAAGTGACTTCACCTTCCCAGAGTCAGCTGCCTGCATTGTAAAGGAGATAATACCAGTACCTGCTTTGTAAGGTGTTGAGAAGGTGAAATGAGCTTCACAGAAAGCATTAGATCAGTGCCCAGCATCAAATCAATACTCAGGAAATAAGAGCATTACTGTGACTCATTTACCCAGTCAGCCCAAGTCCCTTTTCCTCCAGGCATTTTCCATCAGGCCAAAGACCTAGCATTCTTTGAAGCAGACCTGGGTGGCTTCTAAGTTCTTAGAAAGTCTTCGGCCCAGTTAAGCACCTGATCTCACTGATACCAGGGAGAGAGTCTAGGTATGGAGTCTGCTCATGGAGTGGATCGCCAAAGCCCCTCAGGGCAGGAGGTCCTGGCTGTGGACTGAATTTGACAGATGAACCTCATTCTGCAGAAAAGATCACATCTTGAGGACTCAGAAGTAGGAGACCACCTTTTCATTTGAGATCCCTGTACAATCACAGGTGTGGTTCCTGGACTCCCAGGGGGTCACCTGGGAAAGTGCAGAGGCCTGACTCTCGTGGAGATTGTGTTCAAAGAGACACATCACGTGTCTGCATTCTGCGGATCGTGTGTTTGATTGCGCTGCACTCAGAACAGTTGTTGGCGCCAGCTGCTGTGTGTTCAGTGCCCACAATTTGCCTGGACTTGTTGGGGTGTTGGTGAGAGCAGTCCTTTCCCACTTTTTTTGGTCAGTGACACACCTGGGAACTTGGCAGGACACACACTGCTCTCTGTCCCAGAATGAGGGCTTACTCGCAGTTCACACACAAGCCCGGCCCCGGTGACAATGGCACTGGTTATCCAGCACTTTCTGTAAGAAGTACTTTCAGCCAAGTATTTTTCCAGATAACTAAAACTGATTCCTCTAACCACTGAGCATTTTAACTCTAACCATCTTTGGTGGAAATCTTTTTAAGGGTGTATTTTGTGTTTTATTTCCTGTCATTTTAAACAAATTAGGTGGAATAAAATCCCAGTGGTTAGAAGTACTCAATGTGATCATCAGCCATTACGTAGCACTGCCCACAGGGACTTTATGTGGGTATGTTTGCCACACACTAGACAATCCCAGCTTGCTGCTAATTTTCTAGTTGATCCCTCTTGCCTGTGTCTTGTGGTCAGCTGTTAGTCTTCCATCGGTCTTCGGCTTCACTGTACAGCTATTATTGACATAACTTAAGGCAGAATCC